GCCTCTAATCTAACAGGTTTGTACTTCGATGGTAGGAAGGACAAAACAAAAATGCAACTCAAGAAAGGTTCCAAGTATTATTACAAAATAGTTACAGAAGAACATGTTACACTAACTCAAGAGCCCCATTCAATATATGTCGGTCACATAAGCCCTGAAAATGGAATATCAGTTAAAATAGCATATGGCATAGTAGATTTTTGTGATTCGAATGGAATTTCACTAAACAATTTAGTAGCTGTTGGTTGTGATGGCACGAATGTCAACACTGGTGCGTTGGGAGGTGTCATCCGTTTACTTGAGATGAAACTTGATAGGCCTTTGCATTGGTTTATTTGCATGCTTCATGCAAATGAGCTCCCTTTTAGACATCTTTTGTGCAAGTTAGATGGCACCACAAGTGGACCAAAAGCTTTCTCAGCTCCAATTGGTAAATTACTTCCAATCTGTGAAACTTTTTCTGTAAAGCATTTTTCAACTATAGAGATGAATAGTTTTCCAGATGTAAATTTTAAAGATTTACGCACAGATCAAATGTATTTATATAAAATGTGCCACGCAGTGAATAATGGTGAATGCCCAATAAATCTGGCAAATAAGACTCCAAGTCCTGTAGTTCACTCTAGAGTTCTGCGGTTATTTGTTTCGATGGAAGATCCAACTGAAAATCTAGTGACTCTTGCAACATCATCTTGTACTCAAGGGGCACATCCATCCCAGGTCAGGTCAGGATAATCGAGGTCAATCTTGCTACTGGTATCACGTAACCCAGTACCACCTGCCACAAGCCCTGCTGCCTTGCAGAGTGTGCTCTTCTTATGCAAAGGCTAGGAGAAATAAACTCCGACTAAAAATTCCCCTGCCTTGGGGCTCTTGGTTGAGTAAAGGCTAGAGATGGTGTCTCGATAAAAATACTCATCTTGGGCAGATGTTAACTGCATCCTGCTACTGTCTTGTAGAAGGCCTCCTAGGCAAAGACTTTAAGGGTAAGCTGAAAAATTCTGCTAACCAGCCTCGAACCCCTTCTTCATCTATTAGGCTGGCGTAGATGTAACCTGTGTTACATTGTTTCCTGCCTAGGATGATGAATGCTGGATCTCCTTGACTCTACTCATAGAATTTTGCTTATGCCTCTATGATAATGGCTATGCAACTCTTCCTGTTATCTCCATATGAGGGTACAGCTCTAAAACTCAGTTTAATGGTTCTGAGGCCGGCTGGTAGTAAGGTTTCCCGAACTCTGTGGTAGCTCTCAGAGAGGCTGATTCCATCAACAGCTGCAAAATATCAGAGTATTAACAGTGCCATGTTGCGCATGGATGGTGTCCCTGTTAATGCTTTTGGTGTGCATTGTCAAGGCCACATAAGGAGCCCTATGTCACGGCTTAGGGTTAATTAACAGAACTGAGACAACTGCATAGCTCATTGATTAGAAGGCTGTGCTCTATCTATGAATGAGTCAAGTTCTCATTAAACCCAAATCATGACCAAAGTAACCAAAAATTTAAAACCTAAAAAACCATCACCAACACCTAAATATTTTAATATATCTTTTACAAATATTTGCGGTCTACGAAGCAACTTTCCATCAGTTGAGTCTTACCTCCTGCAAAATTCACCAGACTTGCTTGCACTCAGTGAAACAAATTTAAGTTCTGCAATTCCTTCTTCAGATGTCAGTGTTGATGGGTACTATCCTTTGATTCGTAAAGACTCCAATAGTCACATGCTAGGTTTAGGGGTATACATACGCATTAATTCCCCTATTTGTCGTGAAATCAGGTTCGAATCCTTTGACCATTCTTTTATGTGCTTTCGCCTAGCACCTCTTCACTCTATCACCTTTCTCTTTGTTCTTTATCGTTCTCCTTCTTCCCATGATTGCACTCTTTTAGATGTTATCTCTGATCAAATTGACCATGCCCTCTCTCTTTACCCCTCTGCCAATATTGTTGTTGTTGGTGATTTTAATGTCCATCACACTGAATGGCTTGGCTCTAACACCACTGATCCTGCTGGCACTAAAGCCTTTAACTTCTGCGTTTCTCAATCTCTTATTCAGATAGTTAACTTTGTGACTCGTTTTCCTGACAACCCTAATCATTTACCTTCACTCCTTGACTTATGTCTTGTCTCTGACCCTAGCTTATGTTCAGTTTCTCCCTTTTCTCCCTTAGGTGGTTCTGACCATGCAATGATCTCTATAAATCTTTCTTCTCGTACTTCTTTTTCGGGCTCACCTTATCATCGCATCACCTACTACTACCCTAAAGCTGACTGGGATTCCTTTCGTGATTTTCTTCGTGATGGTCCTTGGGCTGATGTTTTTTCTCTCTCAGCTGACAAATGTGCGTTCTACGTAACCTCCTGGATTCAGGCTGGAATGGAAGCTTTTATTCCTTCTCGTCGGTTTCAAGTCAAGCCTCATTCTACTCCATGGTTTTCTCCTTCTTGTGCGGCTGCTATATCCAATCGTAACCATTTTTTTCATCTTTTTCAA